AGTTTCTTATTCGTATGAAACTATAGACTTAGTATTTTGATTTCACAAACATCTAATATGAACCAGTGCTGCATTCAACATACCACGTGACACACAAATATCGATGTTTAGCTGTGTTTTTTAATATTTACTTTTAAATTAACAAATTGAGTAATGTATAGTTCTAAAATTTGAATTATAATCTACTGTTTGATACCAGACTTATTGACATAAATAATTCATGAAATAGTAGTTCAATAAATTTTTAAATGTGAGTCAACAAACGAGATGTCACGGCCTTTCACCTGTGACCTGTATCGAAAGGGTTAATTTTACAACATCGTATGGATTTGAATATAATATTGAATACAAGTCAATCAGTAAACAACTACCAGGCAACTTATGGTTTCTTTACTTGAATTTACAACCAGAAACAGCTAATAATCATTGTACTTGTGCATGCCATTTTGTGATAAATTTGAAAACTAGCAGGCATACATTTTCTAACAAGTGTTTGAGAAAGACTTGCATAGTACAGCAAATACTCAAAATATAAAGACATTGGATACAATAAACCAACATTGTAATATAATGTAAAAAAGTTTATATATAAGAAATTTGGAGTAAAAAGTTGTAAGATGCTATGAAGTAAATCATATTTCATTTTTTACATAGTAATGTAGTTATTTGAAAGCTGCTTGTAAACATTTAGAAATATAGACAATGAGAAAGTGTAATAGATTTTTTTCAGAAAAGTATTCCTTGAAGTATTTTGAGAAGGTTATAAGTGAATAGGCTGATAAAACCACTTAGAAAGTGTGAATAGCATTGCATAGTTTTCATTTATTTCTGCTTTTATCCATGTGGAAAATTCAAGGGTTTAACACTGTGTGCATGGGTAGGGGTCAAAGTGTGTATGCCCTGACTTTGTACAGAGTGTCATTCAACATGGTATTATAATTTGATGTCAGAGTTATCAAATTTTCATGTTTTCCTACATTGCTTATTTTGCAACAGTTTATATTAGATTGGAGAAAATACCAAATACAGTGTACAGGGATACTGAAAGAAACTAGATATGCATTTAGGAGGATGCAGAGGTTATACAAATGCAATTTGCGAACTGTATGGTAGACAGAAGTATATTTATTAATCACATTAATACCACTTTGCATTCATAGTCTTAAATCAGACTGACTTTGTCATTTCACAGACAATTTTATATAACACATCTGATATTATTGTTTACAGCAGACTTGTATTGGTTACTAAAAACTTGCCACATTTTGTGAACTTACACTTTGTAAATTTGGAGTTGTAGTCATCATTACCTCTTCAGTATGGGGTCAAACCATTGGACCAATCCCGTTAACATTCACATAAATATCAAAAATCACCTACATTACAAACTTAGAAGTGGGTAATCCAGTTTTACAGCTGATTTAGGTTTTACTTGAAATAATAACATGGAATTTGAAGTTAGCCTACAGAGAATAAAATAGAAGTTATTTCAGGAAAATTATGTGCATGAACTTTGAGAGTAAATTATCACAGAGAGGTTGTTTAAACATTTGACACGTTTTTCAGTTTTGTTAGTTACTGTTGTTTCACCTACTATTGATGATGTCTAATTAACTAATGTAACAAAGCTTCGTAAAGGAAACAATTGTGCCTGGTTTGATTTGGCCCAGCAGAGTTATTATTGTTCTTTATTTGTTTTGCCTTGAATGCAAGTTTCCTTATTTTATTTCTTTTTTTTGCAGGGTGAAACTTTTTAGTGGTCTTTTGATTTTCTTCATAATTTATTTGGACAGAGTTTTGTTAAACAAAACTTGATGATGATGTTTTGATTTATCCCACTTTTTGGGTGAAATTTTGTAGATTGAAACTTTTTATTGGTCATTGGAACTACCCTAAATTGATTTCGGTGAGGTTTTACAAACTAAAATCTTTTAGGGATCTTTTGATCTACCACACAGTCTGTTTGGTGAGGTTTAGCAAAGTAAAACTTTCTAGGGATCTTTTGATCTACTCTAGGGTCTGTTTTGGTGAGGTTTTGCAAAGTAAAACTTTCTAGGGATCTTTTGATCTACCACACGCTCTGTTTTGGTGAGGTTTTGCAAAGTAAAACTTTTTAGGGATATTTTGATCTACCCTACAGTCTGTTTTGGTGAGGTTTTGCAAAGAAAATTTTTTAAGGATCCTTTGATCTAACCTACAGTCTGTTTTGATGAGGTTTTACAAGGTAAAACTTTTTAGGGATCTTTTGATCTACCACATGATCTGTTTTGGTGAGGTTTTGCAAAGAAAAACCTTTTAGGTATCTTTTGATCTACTCTAGGGTCTGTTTTGGTGAGGTTTTGCAAAGTAAAACTTTCTAGGGATCTTTTTATGTACCACACGCTCTGTATTGGTGAGGTTTTGCAAAGTAAAACTTTCTAGGGATCTTTTGATCTACCACACGCTCTGTTTTGGTGAGGTTTTGCAAAGTAAATTTTTTTAAGGATCTTTTGATCTAACCTACAGTCTGTTTTGGTGAGGTTTTGCAAAGTAAATTTTTTTAAGGATCTTTTGATCTAACCTACAGTCTGTTTTGATGAGGTTTTACAAAGTAAAACTTTTTAGGGATCTTTTGATCATTAACTTTTGATTGACTCTTTTAGTATGACTGGAGCAAAGTGCACATGTCATGCCCTTTTACAGATTTATATATGAAATTTAATCAAATTTATTACAAATGTAAGTTACTAAAATTGGCATCAAAACATTGATAACATTTTGAATTGTAAACCAACTTTAAATTTCCAAAGGAAGTTTTAAATAAATTCTCAGTTTCCACTTCTCTGTGTCATGTGATGTATTTCCACTCTGAATTCTCCTTTTTAGATTTTCTAGCTGCCCTTGTATGGCTTTCAGAGTATCCAACAAATTAGAAACATAAAAACTATAGATAATGATAGGCAACCAAAACACTTCGATTTGCTGAGATATCAATAAATTTGTCAAACCCACTAGACAAGCTCCTCCAATATTTTCATAGCTTTTCAAGCAGACCACTATCTTTATAAACTGGTTATAACCATGTTCATCAAGTAAAGATGATTGTGGAGGTGTCTAACATTCTTAAATACGTGTTAGAAGGTAGTGATACTACGGTAACAAAGAAGCAGTTCAAGATCATGGGGACTGCTGAAAATGACTTTGTGTAATGTATAAGAGAGACTTTGGCTATTAAAAACTTTTAAATGAAACTGTTAAGTACTGGTGAGCTCATTTTAAAAATATAATGTAAAATAAAACAATAGAAAGAGCTTTTTTTTCTCTCTAAAAATCTTATTACAGTTATTTTTCGGTGGACCGTTGGCCTTAGATTCTTTTTCTGTGATTGTTCCACTCCAAGCAGCTAATGGAACTTTTTTTAACCTATTTATAGCTTAGTTGGAAAGCTAGTTAAATTATTGTCTGTTGGGGACATTCTATTCTAGTGCTTAATATGTATATTGTTCCTTAAAATGTATAATTGGTTGCCTTCAGATGTTGTAGAGGTAGTAAATTTAAGTGAGTTTAAGAAAAAGCTTGATAAGTATATGAACGAAAAGGGCTGAGTTTAAAATTTTTTAATTTTATTTTTTTAATAATTTTAATTTAGTTTTGAGGATGGAACAGCCGAGATGGACCAATAGGTCCCATGTTTTCCCAAAATATTATGTTATGTTATATTTGAAAACTACATGAATTTTATTTAAAAACTAACATTGTGAGAAAAAGTAAGGGTACTGTGCTATGGCATTGAATGCTAAATTTCTTGTGGCATATTATTTAATGAAAGTAACTAAAACGTAAAAGTTAGAAATTTTAAGGTTAGGTAATAAATGTCTTTTTTAACGTGCCACCTGAACACACTCATAAAATTATTTAGGTGCCACAAGAGATTTTTGGGTGATGGGAAAAAGATTACCCCCCTTCCAAAGAAGCATTTGGTATTTTTTTATTTTCGAATATATCAACATTCAAAACAGATGCTCAATATTATCTTTTATTGTGTTTATTTGTTATTTACCATTACATGACTGAAACCTTAGTGTTACTAGGCTAGCCTATATATAGACTTGTATGTAATTGCTATTGGAGTTTAAATATCAATTTGAAGACTACTTATCAATTGTTATACACTAATGGGAAGCAATATTTCTTCTGTAACAATAATAATAAACGTAAAATGTTCTATAATTTAGATCTCCAACTTTCAAGTTTTGATTTATATTGCTAAACCCTACATTTAGGTGTAGTAATTGATTCTAGAACATATGCATTATTTTAAGTTATTGCTGCTACTGGTAATTAAGTTTAGGCTTAGATACAGTATGAGGCAAGTAATAATAACAGTATTAATAATGATTACAGAAAAAAATATATATGTATATATATACACACACAAACACACATAATTATAAAAGTAGATACACATATGCATTAATTTTCTGTATATGCTCAGCACAGATTCAAATCATGGTCAAACAGTGATTGTCAATATCAGCCAAATGATATGCAATTTAATACGCAATATAAGTAAAAGAAACCCAGCAATTGAAATAGTTTTGGGTGATGAAAGAATGATTTCTTGGTACAAAAAATACGAAGTCTTGTCTTGCTTTCACAGTACACTCCCCTTAATACTGTCTAAGAATGATAATGTTGTTTTATCTAATATGAGACAGTTGTTGAAAAAAATATTTTGTACCATTAGAGCATATTCTTTTAAATTTTTACGGGTCATATTTGTTTTTTTAAGAGCATTTGGCACTGTGCACACATTAATTTTACACCATGCTATCTGTTATGAAATTAATTCAAAAATGTGTTATCACTTAGATTTTAAATTTGAAATAAGTTAAAATTAGGGTGAATGGTAACCTCAGGAATATATCTTTGTGAGTTTGTGTATGACACTTTCAGGAACTTATATACCTGTTTTTTTTCTGATTCAACATTTGTCGAGTCATGGGGGAAATATTATGTTCACACACATAGAAAAGAAGAAAATATTGGTCTACAAACAGGAAATAAATTGTTTCTCTCTTCTTTTACTTGTCATTGCAGTGTGTTCTAAAACAGGGGTGGATTTTCCTAATTGCCATTTCAGGTGGGATCAGGGCCAATATTTAGTCTCTAGCTATATACTAGTTTAATCTTTGAACTTTTTAAGCAATAGTTTTGATCTGAGGTGTCTGTCTGTATGATATTTAGGTTGTTTGAGTTCTCTGCATACTTTCATGATGATGGAAGACAAGGTTTGTTAAAGGTTTGTCGGATGGTGCTCTACGTAAAGTATCCCAAGTATGCTGCCGATGGTTATGAGGCTCTTTACACTCGACCTCCTGTCATTTACATCAGCGCTGCAGCAAGAATAGGCCTTGGGCACTACTTGTGTTCTCAGGTATGCACTAGTAACTTATCAAATCAAGCCTCAGAATACTGCTCATCAACTGGATACTGCACCCTCAACTTGTATTTCTTTATCATGTAAAATATTAGTATTGTTTATGGATACTTATCACTAATTATAAGCTAAGTATATGTCTGAATCTGTTTTTTTTAATTTGCATATTCAATCTTTAATAGAGAACACAAACTACAATGACCTCTTGCATTTTTGGACTAGGCTATGTGAATAGAAATGTTCCTAACTTGACTAACAAAATCAGTGTTACTAGGTAATCATACACGTAACAGTATTACCTCAGATTCTTTTGGTAACTCAAGCATGATTACAAGACTTTCACATATTGTCTTCAACTTGTATCTATCTTCATTCCATTCCTCATCATGATTAGTGTATTTTCATCTACACTGAGAACTATGTAATAAAATGTATTTAAGGATCACACTGACTATCTGAGAGGCTTAATAAAAATGGTAGATTATAAGTTGAAGGAATCAGTTTTATAAAAATAATATACAGAATGAAGTTAGCATTGTAAAGAGGGTACATAGCATTAAACTATCAGCATCATGTGGGATAGGGGTTTATATATATATACACCTGGAAAAAAGTTAAGCACCCCCAAATATTTTTCAGGATTGCTTATTGAAAATAAGGTTTAATTTTCATGATGTT